GGATGAGGGCCAAGTTGCTCACTTGAGCCTTTATCACAGTGTGCAGGAAGAGACATTCCACCAGGGCTGGCTGCTTCCATGTAGAACAGCAGAGAAGGATTCCAATTATTAGTCTATGCCCTGAGACTTCTCATGTCAAAAGAAATCAAGCTCTGCAGGTAGGTAGCTGGTAGGGTACGGGACAATGAGTTTCTTGGGGAAGTAATAAATCCAGATGGGGATGAAAGCAGAGACTCCGAAGCCAACCCTGGGGATTCAGAGAGGAACTGGCCTAGTAGAAATCCAGAGAGCTGGAGACATGGAACAGGAGCAAAGGCTGGTAAGAATATAAGAGAGCAAAGTCCGGCCAACGCTCTACCCCTTGACAACACGCGAGCAGTGGACTCTCAGCTACAAAGAAAACCCCAGGAGGCAGTTTCAGAAACATGATTTCAAACTGAGAGTATCAGGCTAGTACAGTGCGTTGCATGCAGTCAATCTAGGTACAATGTCCAGAATTCCAAAGGGTCCCCTGAGCACCATCTGACTCATAGATAGATGGAATCTTGCTCTATCCAATCATAAATGTTTCCTTTTTTTACGTCTAATATTAGAAAAGTGACACGGGTGGGATCCAGGAATGTGACCAACCTTGTGAGTAATCACAGGTAAACGGATAGATCTGCTGGAATGTGTGGAGTTTGGGACCTGACCCATATTTCCACTTATAAAAGATTTCATCAAGGCGCCCCTTCCATCCTTTCAAACGACATTCTGTGCACAGTTACGTGCATCTAACCTCTCCACCTGAGACCAGAGCAACTGTAGATCTGGGTAGGGTGTTGCTTGCACATGACCAACCATGGTTCAATCCCCAGGATCCTGTAGAGTCTCCCGGAGCACCATCAGAAATAATACCTGAGTGCAGAGCCAGGAGAAACCACTGAGGATCACCAGGTACTGTAGGATAATAGTGGTCTGCCCTTGCTCCCTGGTTGATGAGAGCTTATGTTTGTTAATTGCCCATAACCTTTCAATTACCTTTGTCTCCTGATCAGACTTTGACTTGTAAATATTGTCTTTCTCTTCTCCTTGATGTCTTTTGCATGGTTAGCTATTTCAGAGCAATTGCTTTTTGTATGGATACAGGAAGACAGTTACAAAGACAAGCCTAAGCTTGTTGATGGTCTCCAGATAATATTACATTCTGGACATCTGCTCTCTTGACTGAAGCCTCAATTGCCCTTACTTGCTCAATCCCCAAAAGAAGGGTCCGATGAGGGACTAGATGGACCCAGGACAATTGGTGAGCTAGCTACCCTGGCATCGAAATGGGCCTGGACAAAGTGTCATAATGCTTATCTGTAAGAGCTTGGTCATGGACAAATTCTGTCATGAATCAAAAAGTAATAACTAGACTTGAACGCTCCTGGTATTAGGAGTGATTGATCTGGCTTGACCACTGTAGTCTGAATCTGTGGAGAGAAGTCCCCAGGAGAGACACCAACAAGCCTAAAAGTGTCTATTACTGAGTCCACAGAATGGTAATCATTAGGAAGTAAAACTAACTAAATATGTCAATTAAGTTGCTGGTCTAAGGAGAGGAGTAACACATCATAAGGGCTGCATTTCCTTTGTGGGCTGCAGGTAATGGGGAAGTCATTCTCTTCCCATGGGGAGGCGTGGACTGTGGTTGTGGTGAGAGAAGAAAAAGAACACCTTCAGAGAGACAGGGAGACAGGGGGAATGAAGGGGACTGAAGTGCTGAGAAAAGGAATGGTCCTCCTCCACCCAGATTTCCTATCTTCCAGTATGTAGGCGTTACACCCACCAACTGCCTCCGGTGCTGTGTAATCCCATCAATAGCCAAGACCCAGAGACTATAAAACCCTGCTCCTAGAGGAGAACAGCGCAGTCTCCTGCCTCCACTTCTGGCTGTCTTACTGGGGCCTTTTGGAGGAGAGTGTGTTGAGTTTCCCTCCCTACCCCAAGCAGAGCCCCGGCGAAGACCTCTGGTTCGAGCCACAGCCATGCTTAACACCACTCTCCACACATTCGGACGAGCCTCACGCATGAAGGAACCAGCAGAGGAACCCAGGTGTGCAGGACCTGTGGCTTAGATCTCCAAGCTGCTCGTATTGGGACTGGGCCTCCTCCACCCAGATCTCCCATCTTCCAGTATGTAGGCATTACACCCACCAACTGTCCCTGGTGCCGTGTAATCCCATCAATGGCCAAGACCCAAAGACTATCAAACCTTGCTCTGGGAAGTGCGCGGCCACACGAAATCTTATTATCTAGTCTTACTCTGGAAAAACTGGCAGGCTACCAGAAGTATCCTGCCCAAACCGCAGAGTCTGGCAAACTCCCCGTGGTGTATTCAATATGCCAAAAACCAGTAACAATGATGGTTCTCATTCTCCTAACCCTGAAAGAGCATCAAATGTGGCACTTCTTAAAATCTCAGGGATAGGAAGAAGGAGACATTACTGGGGCCTGCTTGAGTCAATCGATGAACAGTAGGATAACAATGATACAGTGAAAGAAGAGACAGAGTTAGAGGACACGGTTGCACTTAGAGAGAAGGCTGAGAGCTGAGAGTAAGAGTGGCTGGAGAGGAGTCACAGAGAGCATTGGAGAGCGAGTTAGAGAGAGGGTTGGATAGAGCTGGGAGAGACAAGGGAGTGAATAAACTGCAACTAATCAGCAACCAGCCTGGTCCTCATTCTACTTCCATCAGTCCAAAGCAAAAGCTGTCCAGGGTGGAGAAGTGGCTCGAGAGCACCAAATGTGGACAGTGAGAGAGAGCCGCCAAGAGAGACCAGGAACATCTGTTAACGTGTAAATCCTATTCAAACCCCCACTTCTCATAGGGTCCCCCAGGCCCCCTAAGTGACTCCTGAGTGCAGAGTCAGGAGTAAGCCCAGAGCACTTCTGGCTGTAATCCGAAAACAAAAACACAAAAAAGCGAACTGTGGGGGGGCTGGAGCGAGATAGCACAGCGGGTAGGGTGTTTACCTTGGACACGACCAACCAAGGTTTGATTCCCAGCATCCCAAATGGTCCCCCAAGCACTTCCAGGAGTAATTCCTGAATGCATGAGCCAAGAATAACCCCTGTGCATCACCGGGGGTGACCCAAAAAGCAAAAAAAAAAGGGGGGGATTGTGTAGTTAATCAGAAAAAAGAACACAACTTTCTCGACTTAGCAAAAGCATTTTTATGATGGCTACAGAGATAGTACAGACCCTGAATTGCTTGTCTGGCACATAGCTGACCAGGGTTCAATCCCTATCACCTCACAGGGGCCCAAAACCTAGCATTATCAATGAGAACCGAGCCGGGGCAAACTCTAATCTCCATTGGGTGTAGCCAACCAAAAATAAATCATTAAATTTAGGTGCCAGAACTATAGTTTGGTAGGGTACTGGCCTTGTACACAGCTGACCTGTATACCCCGGCACCACACTGAGTACCGTTTGGTACCTTTTGGCAGCAACCACAGGGTATGACCATACACACACACACACACATATATATGTGTGTGTGTATGTGTGTATATCTATATCTATATACATATGTGTGTGTGTGTGTGTGTGTGCAATTTGTTCACAAGTCAACCTCCACCAACCAGTTTTGTAGAATGCAGGTTTGGATTTTGGCGCTACAGGTGGCAGAACTTTGAGCTTACCTGAGTGGTGCTTGGGGAATCCTGCGTTGTACAGGAGACTGTACCATGGCAGATTGCTTGCATGGACCCGTCCTGCATTCCTGGCCTATCTCTGACCCAGCAATTCAAATTCTATATAAATAATGTGAACCTTGTGAGAAAGATACAGGCAGTGGGCAGGGATGAGGCCCAGCTGGTAGAGGTCAGGACAGGGTTGCTGACACCTGGGGCCTCCTGGTGCAAACCTGAGCCAGAAGTACAGGCTGCAATTTCAAAGGTTTGCAGCGGCCCGAAAGAGCTGACAGTGAGTGGGAGGGCACTTGTCATGAACGCAAAAGACTTAACTTCACAACCAGAATTGCCAAGGAGTGATCCCGGAGCACTGCTGGGTTTGGCAAAATCCCGCATAGCCAATCCTCCTCCTGCCCAAATAAAGGCAATGAGGAGATGTCAGTCTCCTGCCCCTGCGCCTGGCTGTTCCTTGCCGGGGTCCCTTGGAGGGGAGCGGGTTGAGCTTTCCTCCCCACCCCGACCAGGGCTCCGGCAGCCGAAGACCTCCAGGACCAGCCACCACCATGCTGAGACCACTCTCCGCACACATGAAGGTACTGGCAGAGGGACAAAGCCACGCGGGTTCCGGGGCCGAGATCTCCAAGCCTACTCGAATTGGAGTCGAGCATCCTCCACCCAGATCCTCCAAATTCCAGTAGGCGGGGGTCACACCCACCACCTGGCCCCCTGGCGCCGTGTAATCCCATCAGCGGCCAAGACTCAGAGACTACAAAATGCAGCTCCCGGATGAGACCAGTGCAGTCAGTCTCCTGCCCCTGCGCCTGGCTGTTCCTCGCCGGGGTCCCTTGGAGGGGAGCGGGTTGAGCTTTCCTCCCCACCCCGACCAGGGCTCTGGCAGCGCGACATCTTATCAGAACATCTTTTTATGATATCTCAGTATCTCATTCCTACTCTGGACAAACTTGCAGGCTATCGAATATAGCCTGCCCACAGGGCAGAGTCTGGCAAACTCCCCGCGGCGCACCAAATATGCCAAATACCAGTAACAATGATGGGTCTCATTCTCCTTAAAAGCCTTGAATATAATCTCAGGGCTAGGATGAAAGAGACGTTACTGGGGCCTGCTCGAGGCAATCTACGATTAACAGGATGATGAATGAATGAATGAATGAATGAATGAGGAGATATCTGCCAACAGAAGAGCTGTGAAATCTAGTAATATATTCTGAACGGTCAGTCCTCTGGGTTTGTTGTTTTGTTTTGGGACCACATGCAGAAATGCTCAGAGCTTACAGGCCAGGTTTTCAGACTATGATTTTACTCCTGTGGGTACGTGACTTTATAAAAGAAAAAGAGAATGAAAAATTACACTTGGAGTCAGAGTGACAGTACAGTTGGCAGGGCAAATGCTTGGTCCCCAGCATCACATACAGTCCCCCAAGTACTGCCAGGAGTGATTCCTGCGTGCCAAGCCAGAAATAACACCTGAGCATTACTGCTGTGTCCTAAAAAGAAAAAAGAGAAAAAAAAAGAAAAGAAAAATTAAATTTAGCCCAAACGAGATTTTAAAGTCCATAATTTTGCCCAGAGCCTCCAACTCCTTCATTTTCCCCTAACAGCCATCTGTTGAACGGGCTCAAGAAATTTCACGTGTATGAAACTTCAATGAAGGTATAAACAGAGAGAGCACGCCAGACTGAAGCAGATGCCAGCCACCTGGAAGCCCAGAGGGCCTTCCCTGGTATCCAGTGTCCACTAGTTCCCTGAGCACAGAGCAGGGCACAGACCTCAAGTACTACCAGGTGTGGCCCCAAATCTCACCTCATCTGCTCCCCAAGTTGTGAGATACACCCAAGGAGAGGAGCTCAGAGGGATGAGCACCTGATTTACTTTTGGGGGACATGGCATGGCTCCCCCTGCATCTCAGACACACAGACACAAGAGGCGGAGAGTCTCTGACTATCTCCAAGTTTGTAGCAAATGGAGCGGGGGGAGGGGGGAGGGAAAGACAGGAGAAACATTCCAACTCCAAAAAGATGCTCAAAGAATGCTCATATGTCAAGACAAATTCTGGATTGGGAGGGTTGGGGTCATACCTAGTGATGCTCAGGGGACAATATCACCTAGTGATGTTGTGGCAGGGATAACTCTGGTCACCGCAAGAAAGACAAATGCCCTTGTGGCTTTACTACTGCACCAGCCCCTAAGAGTGAGACATTCAGAACCTATTGCAGCTGGTCCCCAGAACACCCCTTTCTGCAAGTACTCACTTCAACAGCAGGGCACACCCCTGGTCTTGGAGAGATGGACAGTGGAGATGCTTGGAATCTGGAGAGGTGAGGCATAAATTCTTTTTTTCTGAGGAAATACAATCACATAGGGTTAGTAAAGCTAATAAGTTGATAGAGTGCTTTTCTTTCAAGCAGCTAAGCCGGGGTCAGTATGCAACAGGACATAGGCTCACCCACTCCAGCACTGTTAAAAATGATGCATAAACTCAGAACCAAGAGTAACCCCTGAGCACTGAGTGCTTCTTTGGCCAAAAGAAGTACAATAAATTAAGTAATGAAGACATTTCTGGGGCCGGAACGATGTTACAGCAGGTAGGGAGTTTGTCTTCCATGCGGCCAACCTGGGTTCGATTCCCGAAATCCCATATGGTCCTCCAGCACTGCCAGGAGTGATTCTTGAAAGCAAAGCCTGAGTAAACCCTGAGCATTGCTGGGTGTGACCTTAAAAATAAAAAAAAAGAAATTTCTGTGTAAAGAGATTGGAGACACAGTATAGCAGGTGAGGTGGTTGTCTTGAACTCAGTGAAACCAAGTTTGAATCCTGGAATCCCATACGGTGCCCTGAGCCCAGCCAGGAGTGATCCCTGGGTGCAAAGGCAGGAGAAGTAACTGAGTCTTGCCGTTGTACTTCCTACAGACTGAATAATTAATTCATTTAAATGAATAAAGGTGTGGTGGCCAATAGTGATCCTAAATTGCATTATTAGAGGGTTTAGGGCACACTCTGGAAGTGCCCAAGCTACTTCCTGCTAAGATTGCATATTTGCTTGCAAGACCCACTGTAGCACCACCCTGATGCACCCCTCCAGACCACAATCTGAGTTGGCTTAAAGCTCCACACCTTGGGGCCTGAGTGACAGCATAGACAGATGGGCATTTCTTTTGAAAGTGGCCAACCTGGGTTTAATTCTGGGCATCCCTTATGGTTCCTAGCACCACTAGGAGTGCTTGCTGAATTTAGAGCCAGAAGTAACCATAATGACTCGCTGGGTGTGACCCAAAATGCAAAATAAATAAATAAAAAGGAAAGAGAAGCTCCCCACCTCCCTGAACTCCCAGAACCCACTGAATGCACAAGAACCAGTGAAAACCAAAGGCTCTGCCAAATGCTTTTGAGCCCCAAGCATATGAAGAATGTGCCCAGCCCCTCCCCCCATCCAGCCCCGCCACCCCCCAAGAACGACAGGACAGAGGGGAGGGTGTTTTTTCCTTAATGCTGCTGATCCAGATATGGGGTACCCTGAGCAACCCCAGGAGTGACCCCTGAACACTGTCAGGTGGGGCTCAACACCCCCCCACTAGGAAAAAGAATGTGCCCCCAGGTCCTTTGATGAGGGAATCCCATGCTTTAGCCCTACTCCACAATCAGCCTAAGGAACAACAGGGGGCCAGTAATGGGATGTCCTGGGGACACTGCTGGGATGATCCACCCTCCCCTGTGACTGACCAGGTGCTGTTCGTCACCCGGAAACTAAGATAACGCTGAGGTGCCCTCACACACCCCATCAGATCTGGGGGAGACTGAGGCTTCCTCTAGCTCTGACGCTTTCTGCTTAGTGAGGGACCGGAGCGATGGGTCAGCAGGGAGGGCGCTAGCCTCGCATCCCGACACCCCAAAGGGTCCTCGGATCCCCAGGGAGGGAGTCCTGAGCGCCACCAGGTAAGAGTCTAAAACACATTTTAAAAAAACAACTTTTTTTTCACTTTTGCTTGTTCGGTTATTGTCCTTGTTTCTGGAGCTTTCAGAACAACCTTAGCGCTTCAAATTCGTTTTTCTCCTCGACCACGTGCTTCCTCTACCCACCCAACTTCTTTTGGGGGGTGCCGGGCTTTGCTCAGGGGTTACTCCGGGCTCTGGGCTCACTCCAGGCCGTGATCGGACGCTGTGGGGTGCCGGGATCGAACCCGGCCGGCCCCGTTTCCCTCTTACGCATCTTTCTAAATAAGTTCTCCTCAGTAAAAACGACCGTTTTTCCCTAAAATCAATTTATAAATAAGATAAACCTCTCGGCAGGAGCGCTCGGTGCGTCCCGGGTGAGGGGCCGCCACCCGGGCCACCGCCACAGAGCGACCCCGCCGCCCACAAGGCGGAGACCGCAGACGTTCAGGCGCTCAGAGCGACCACCGGGGAACCGACCTTCCCGGACCCCCCTGGACCCCGAGGGTGCCCCCTCACCTGCTCCTCACCTTCCGCAACCACGAGACCCGCCGGCACTTCCAGCTGAAAGCCAAGACCCTGCGGATAAAGGTCGCGGATTTTGTGACGTCACCTGCACGTTTCGCCCAGAGCCTTAAAGGGCCAGGTTTCAAATATTCCTGACCAGACACTTGCCTGGTCACAAAGATTCACTTTTCCTCGATTCTGGGATAGGATCAGGTGATTCAGACATCAGGGGGTCGCCAGGTTTGGGATAGATGGGAGAGAGATGAGATGAACAGATAACATGTCGAGCAGAGAGTCTTTGTATTTTATGAAGGAAATAAAATTCACACAAATACTTTGCAAACAGCCGCCAAGGCCATCTCTCTCCAACGTTCCAACGTTCATTTATTTATTAATTTATTTACAACCCTCAGCCACATGCTAGGAGCAGGCCCCCAGGATTCCTCCTGGCAGGTGACAATGAAAAAAGACTGGCTTCAACAGGGTCCCTCACCACTGGGGACTGAGGAGCTGACACTCAAAGTGATATGGCTGTTTTACATACACATGATTACACAGAAAGCTGCAGGACAGGGCCCGGCAAACCCCTGGTTGAGAAGGTTGGGATGGTCAAGACTTCTGCAATCACAGGTCCAGCATCCTCAAGAACCACAGCCCCCATGCTCAGCTCTGTATCCTGGCCATGCTGCCCCATCGCAGAGCTGGAAGTGAAGATGCCCCCAAGGATAATGCACTCACACCTGAGACCCCTGTGCCATGCTAAATCCCCCCAGAGCACCCAGCAAAGCTCTATATCCTCTAAAGCCTCTGGAGCAAGGCAGACCCCAGGAACCCACTGGCTATGGATGGGGGGGAGTGAAAATCAACCACAAAAGTGCCCTGAAAGCTGGCACAATCCCGTAGGTCACATTACAGGCACTGAGATGAGAGGTCCTCATGTCCTGCCACTAATTGGCCTTCAGTGTCCCCTTTCAACTGAAGTATCACTTTGTCCTTTAAACGTGTGCCCAGAGGAGGCCTGATCCACTTCAAATCATTAGGAAGTAAAGGTGCACATGGAAGACTCCCATCTGTGACATCATCCATTTCACCAAGGAGCCTTAATGTGCCAGGTTCCAAGTGCAGACAGACCATTATGGCAGCCCAGGTGAATCAGTGCAGGGGGGATGAGCTCGAATCAAAAAGAGGAGAGGCAAGCGCTGAAGGGGCTGGTCACAGACTTCAGGGCAGGAATTAAGGTAGAGTTCCTTGGTCCTGTACTGGTTAAACATAGAACCAATGCTCCCCAACATGTCCATCATGAAAACAAAAGAAGGTTGATTCAAAGTAAAACAGACAAGTAGGTTGTGAATGGCTCCTTGGACAATGAGTTTCTCTGGGAAGTCATTAATCAAGATGGGTGCAGTGTTTCTGAAGCCAGCCCTGAAGATGCAGAGGAAATGGCCTAGCAGCAACCCAGAGAGCTGGAGAGACACTGGACAGGAGCAAAGACTGGGAAGAACATCGGAGAGCACTATACAGTGAACACGCTGCCCCTTGAAAACACGCTATCAAAGAACCTACAAGGAAACCCCAGGACGCAGCTTTCAAAACACGTTTTCAACCAAGAGTATGGGGAAAGAGGTTAGTACTGTGATTTAATGCTTGTGTTAAACATGGTTTTCCTGAGTTCCATTCCTGGCATCCAAAACAACACTGACACCAAAGAACTGCCAAGTATGGCATGAATTCCATAAAACATACTTCAATAAATAAATTCCATGTATGGACCAAACCTAAGAATGGAGGTACATAGGAGCTAATGGGCACCAAAGTGTACTAGATCGTTTTGTAGACTTGGTCTTTTGGGCAGACCAATAACGGTTCTAATCATTCTGGTGGCTAGTAGGGTTTAGATTTTACCACTTGCAAATGCAACATTTTGTCGTCTTTTCTCCTAATATAGCTGAAATGAGAAGAGTATAATCCAAGAATGTGACCACCCTTTATAGTTAGTCATCACAGCTGATGTTATTGCCTGCTGAGATGGGAGTTTGAGCATTCTGCCAGGTTCCCACCACTTGTAAAATATTTTGATCAAGGGGCCTGTTTCATCCTTCAATAGATCCATCAGAAATCTTTCTGTGCACAGTCAAGTCCATTTCAACTATCTCTAATCCACCCTATTAAAGAACAATGACAGGGCCATTATCCTAAACTTTTCAGAAATATTGATCCTCAATGCTTAGGGAAATCTAATAAAAATCTGAATAAAAAGAGTGCAGAGCTGATACAGCGGGAAGCTACTTGATTGCACAAGACTGATCAGGATTCAAAGTCCAGATCCACATAAGGATACCTGTCCTCCCTCGCAGGTATGGGTGAGCTCAGAGCCAAGAGTATGGCCTGAGCAAAGCAGGTGTGACTCCTCAAAACATAACAGAGGAAGGCCTGAAGTTATTCACTTGGTTTGCCTCTTTTTCCATTCCAAAGGATTCACTGCAACATCCTGGTTGATCTCTGTCATAAACCCCGCCAACCGGGGTCTCTGCCTCAAGTCCAAGCAAAAATGAGACATTGGGCTGGAGTGATAGCACAGCAGGTAGGACGTTCGCATTGCATGCAGCCAACCCAGATTCAATTTCCAGCATTCCATAGGGTCCCCCAAGAACAGCCAGGAGTAATCCCTGAGTGCAGAGCCAGGAGTAACCCCTGTGCATCTCTGGGTTTGACCAAAAAACAAAAGAAAACAAAAAGAGTGACACTGATAATTGTGATCAGGGGTGGTTTTTGTACCCATTTACTTAGTTCCTATTTAATCAGTTTTCACCTGGATTCCGTCATCAAGACCCATTATTTACAGGGGCTAGAGCAATAGCACAGTGGGTAGGGCATTTTCCTTGCATGCGGCCGACCCAGGTTCGATTCCCAGCATCCCATATGGTCCACCGAGCACAGCCAGGAGTGATTCCTGAGTGCAAAGCCAGGAGTAACCCATGAGCATCTCCAGGTGTGACCCAAAAAGAAAAAAAAAGAAAAAAAGGACCCACTTTTTATAGGTTAACATACACATCAAGTCCAAGTGCTGGGACATTGGCATAGGAAATAGTAATCATTACTATTATTATTATGGTTTGCTATATAATGTAACTCAGGAGGTTAATTCAGGTTCATGAGGAACTCAGGCCTTAGTAGGTGTATGAAAATACACAGTGGGAAGAACTCTTAAGAGTGTACAGATTGGGAAGATCTTTTTGTTTCCCTGAATTGCAATGATCAGCAATTCCCTTTCCCTCATAGT